GGGCGCGGTGCGGAGCTGAACGACCATTTGTAATCCCGGGGCGCGGGGCAGGGATCGGGGCGGGCGCTGCTGCTCTGCGAGCCCGGACAGCGCCGGAGCTCGCTTTATAGGGGAGAGGCGGAGCCGGGGTTTGAGTGGCGGAGGCGCAGGGACGGGTCGCTGGGCGGCCCCCCCCCGGGCCCCGCCCCCCCCCCCCCCCCCCCCCCGCAACTCTGGCGCACACACACACACACACACACACACAAACATACAATCCAGGGTGCACACACACATGCACACTTTATTTTCACAGAGAGACACACACAAATACAGGTTTACAACACACACACGACTCTGGGGGCACGCATACATACACTCATTTTCACAGCTTCACAACACACACACAGCCCAGGGCATCCTTACACACAGAGGCGCACAAATACACAGACTCACATTCACACAGAGGTATTCACACGCACATGCTCACACAACTATTGAGTTTTCTCAGACACGCAGCTGCCCCCAGGTATAACCCTCCCCTCTGCCCCCCCCCCCCCACAAAAGTTCACCCAGAGTTACACACAACACAGTGCCACACAGACACAAAGAGACACACACATTCCTACACACTGGCAGGCTCACACATACAGAGATGTAGTCACACGTACACATACAGGTACATTTATATTCACACAGACACAAAATTACACAAACTGTTCCTCACACACCTGTACACATGCGCAAGCAGGCAGCAAACCCACACTTGGTGCTCTTGCACAAACACACACTGTCCTATCACACCCTCTCCCTTGCACACACACTGAAACACAGAGACACGCTCACACACATGCACACTTTCCCTTGCATGCACACACTCACTCTTTCCTTTGCATGCCTACTCATACACACACACTCATACACTTTCCCTGGCACACTGACACGTAAACACACACCAACGCTCTCACACAGGTACACGCTTTCCCTTGTACACGCACTCTTTCCCTTGGGTGTGTGCACACTGACAATCTCCTCCGCACACCCGAACACAGTCTCACACACACAGACGCTCATGTGTGCGCACACACACAATCTCATGCTCACACACATGCGCACGCAGAGAATCTCACACCTGCTCACAGAATCTTGTGTGCACAAACACACACAATCTCTGTCACGCACAGTTTCACACACCAAATCTCTCTCTCTCTCTCTCTCACACACACACACACACACTGAGCTGAATGGAAACTCCTTTCCCTCTCCGCCTTCACCCACCCTTTGCCTGCCCTCAGAACTCCCTGCTTCCCATCGGGAACTGTTCCTCCCAGCTCAGCCCAGCCAGGAAGCCATGTCATGCCTGGGCCTGCAAGAGTCCTTTCCACACCCTGTGATCTCCTGGCTGAACACGGGGTGAAGGCCCGTAAGGACGTAGCAGGCTGGGCAGCTGCCTTTTCCCAGCCGGAAGCCCCAGCGCCTTCAGCTCTGCTGCACAGTCTAGGTGTGCCTAGATCTGGGCCTTAGCCCCTCGGAGGATGCAAGCGCACCCAGAGACCAACCTCCAAACCAGGCAGATCTGAGCCAAAAACCGAGATCCTGAAGTCTGGGGATACTCCAAATCTGAACCCCAGGTGCCAATTGCATACCAGTAGCTCTGCAGGCACCACAATAAGAGGCATAGTCTAGGGCGGGGGTTCTCAAACTGGGGGTCGGGACCCCTCAAGGGCTCGCAAGGTTATTACATGGGGGGTCACAAGCTGTCAAAAGTACAAAAGTTTGAGAAGCGCTGGTCTAGGGGGATTAGGAATGGCTAGAGCTTGTCTCAGGCAGTGCCCAGGAGACCTGGGACATAGGGGGAAACTGAGGCACAGTGGGGAAGTGATTTGCCCATGGTCCTCCAGCAGGTTGGTGGCAGAGCTAGGGACAGAAGCCAGGTCTCTGAATCCCAAGGGCCCAGTGAGGGGGAGGGATAGCTCAGTGGTTTGAGCATTGGCCTGCTACACCCAGGGTTGTGAGTTTAATCCTTGAGGGGGCCATTTAAGGATCTGGGGCAAAAATCTGTCAGGGACAGTACTGGGCCTGCTGTGAAGACAGGAGACTGGACTCAGTGACTTTTCAAGGTCCCTTTCAGCTCTATGAGGAAAATTTCTAGGGGACAATGATGGAATGAACTGCCTAGGGGGGAATTTTCTTCCGAATTCTACCGCCCATCTCTGAACCCCCTGCTACGCAGATGGGTTAGACGACAGCTGGACAGACAGATGTCCTGCTGCTGAGTAAGGTGGGGATAGATCAGAGGCACTGGAAGAGCTAGATAAGTAGATGGGGTGGGTGGGAATAGAGAGCCGGGGTGCAGATGGAGAGAGAGAAGTGAGTCTTTATGGCAACAGTTCTCCTGGCCTTTTTTCTTTCATTTTAGAAGCCTTGGCAAGCTGGGCTCCACACGCAGGGCACTGAGCGCCTGGCAAAGGCAGGAATGCTGCTGCCATCTCGGGGCCAGGAAATAAACGAGCTGAAAGTGATTTCTAGCCAATTAGTATTAGCCGGGCTGTTCTGATTGAGGCTGTGGGGAGCGGAGAAGAGTCACTGCGCAGTGCGCTCTGGCCAGCGCCCCGAGCCTTCCCCTAAGCCGGGGGCTGGGGAGGCCTTTGCAGGGGAGGGGAGCCCTCGGGGAGCCGTTCCCAGCCACTTGAAGACCCCGTAACCCTGCCGGAGCGGCACAAAGGGGCCAGAGTGTGACTGAGAATCAGGCCCAATAAGCCTTTGGGATAACACAATGGAGGCGGGATTCCTGCCCCGTCTCTGTAGTTGTGTGTGGAGAGATGTGTGCTGGGACGGGGAGTCAGGACTCCTGGGTTCTTCTATGCCTATTCCGGGAGGAAACTGGGCTAGTGTGAGCCAGGGCTCCTGGGTTTTATTCCCCACTCTGCCACTGATTTGCTGCATGGCCCTGCCCAGCTCCGTGCCTCAGTTTCCCCCACTTTTGAAATAGGGATAAAGATCCTGACCTGCCTCCTAGGGGAGGCTGCGCGGCTCATGTTTATAAAGGCCGGTCTCAGTGCTGGGGATGAGAACACCAGCCCCTGCAGCTGTTTCCCACACGCCTGCCAAATATCTAGCCCCAGACAAGTGCATGTGAGCTGGGGAGCTGGGAGCAGGTGCTGGGGGGATGGGTGGCGGGACGGTGTCGCGAGTGGTTCAAGCTTTGCCGAATTTGGGTTGGCATCTCCCATCCTTTGCCTTCTCGTGCCTTCCGCGCTGCTCGGCATGTGATGCTCAGCTTGGGCAAGCGCTGCCCTTTGTGTCGCCCGCGCTCTCTGCTGCGTGTGCTAATTAGGTCTGGGGATGGAGAGCTGCTTCTGACTGGTGACAAATGCTTGGTGCCTCTGCTGCCTGTGTGCCCGGCTCCGGGTCGGTGTGTGCAGGGCACATGTGCTGTGCAGAGAGCGACAGCGATGTGTGTAAGTGCGTGCATGTGTCTGTGTACATGGCTTTGTGTGGACGGGGCTCTTTGTGTGTGTGGTTGCACATTTGGCTCTGTGTGTGTGTAGCTGGCTCTCTGCACGTGTGTCTGGATGTGTTTGGATGGGTCTGTGTGCATTCATGTGTTTGTAAAGTTGTGTCAGAGTGTGTGTGAGCGAGTATGTTTGTGTGTGTGTGT